TTGACCTGTAAACGTTTAAACGTGTTTCATTAGTAAATTTAATTAATATACGAGTTTCATCAATTTGAAATAACAATTATTTAATAAATATATATGTTTGAAAAATATTTATTAAAATATTATATTAAATATATATACATTTTTATATTATTTTATATTATATTAAATTATATAAAATATTGTATTAAAATTATATATACGAGATTTATAAAAATAATGATTTTTCTTGAAGTAAAAATTATGATGAAAAAGAAACAAAATAATAATACAAAGAAAAGGAAAAATAAAATGTTCTGTATAAAGGAAAACTTGTATAAACCGTTGCCTCGAGGTTATGACAAAAGAAGAAGGAAATAAGGAAAAACCTTTGTATTAAAGAATCCAATACTTAATTAAGGTTAATATTTTTGTTTCATTTTTGTATAAACACAACATCGAAATGAGAAAAAGCTCCTTTATTAAAAAATATTAATTCGTTTACCATATTAATTTTCTATTAATTCTTGTGGATTCTCAACTCTATGCAATGTATTTAAATAGAAAAACAAAAAACTAAAAAACAAAATCAAATAAAAATAAACGATAAATAATTAGAGTCTCGTTTGTGGCAAACCATTAAATTAAATATTTACCGATATTTCATTCTGCATGCATTTGTATTGAAAACAAGGAAAAAAGCACATTCTTACACATATAGGAACAGCATAGATAGAATTCTCATTGGGTAATGATTTACGGATTGTATTGCAGATAAATTTGATACCAATTGGAATTAACTTTTGTAATGTTTCGGATTTGCATTTTTTTTATTTTTTTAATCGTAAAAGAAAAAACAAAATATGTATAATATATATAGAATATAAGATAGAATATTTTTTATATTATAATATAAGAAATACTGAAATATAATATTTTAAGTTTTAATTTTTTAATTTTTTTTTTTAATTTTTTTAATTTCTTAATTTTTCTTTTAAATATTAAAATATAATATTTTGTATATTATATTATATATATTTTCTATTATATATTATTTTTTATATTATACATAAAATAATATTATATTATAATTTATATTAATAAATAATATAAATATAATTATTTACTAATTATAAATAAATTATAATTATAATATAAATATATAATATCAAATATGTATTGTAATATTTTTTATATTAAATTATATTACATATATATTTTCTTTTATATTAGATTTCTTTTTTCTAATAAATAATTAATAATACATTTTTGCTGACTGTATAATAACCATGATAGAAATAAAAAAAGAAAAAAAAATGTATAACAATTCTACAATTTAGATTTAGTAAGCAATCTAATATAAGATCAAGAATAACATTTCATACATTGCTTTCTAAAACGTTTAGATTTCCTTTCTTGTATAGAATAGAAAGAGATAGACAGACAGATAGATAGATAAATAGAGAAAGAGGAAAATAGAAAGGGAAAGATAGAATGAAAGAGAAAGAGCCAAAGCCGTGGAGAAACCACGATTAAATTGGAATTACGAATCGATCTGTTGAAATCTCCGACCCTAAAGTACTTCGTATATCCACCGCGTTGCAATTAATTAAACTGCCGACCTGATTGCGTTGTGCTTAATTACGACGATTGTTTGGAAAACTTTGCTAACGTGTGCGAAGTTTTGTCATTGATTTTCCCTTTTCTTTGTCTCAACTTTATATATATATATATATATTATCGAAAGTAATAATAATAATAATTATTATTATAAAACATCGATGAAAAGTATTTTTACTTTACTTTACTTTACTCGTCAGATTTAACAGAACATTTATTATTTATGGTTAATATAAAAGAGAAATAAAAAAAAAACAGTTCTTAATATTATCATATTATTATTATTATTGTTTCTTTCACGTATATACACACACATGTGTACACAGGTGGTATTTCATTGGATAAACACGTAGTTGGAAATGAGAAAAAGTTTATATTTTTAGAGACGAAAAGTAGTGTTGCTAGGTGTTGTTGTTATACATTTTGCGTAAAACAAACGGAAAAGAAAAACCCTAGAAAATACAAATGTGTAAGAAGACTAGAAATACTGACTTATATATATATATATATATATGAGTTGTAAGTTGGTTGGTGATGGTAGTAGTATAACTGAGGTAGGTTAGGCGCAAACTCTTTCTCACGGCAACGTTATAAATCCAACGTGTGGATTCTTTACGGCCTTGCTGCGGAATTCCGTGACCATTTGTCCTCATTTATCCAAGCAACAAAGCCGATAACGTCGGTCTTCGTTTCAAAAGCTATTAGTAAATTACCTTTCTCTTTCTCTCTTTGTCTCTCATCTTAATCAAGGATATTTTTCTTTCAAAGTATCGTGTTAACGTGGCCGTATTTAAAAAAAAAAAAAAAAAAAAAAAAAAAAAAAAAACAAAGAAAAAAACTACGTTTAAGTATACACTTCCTGACTCTATTTTACCTCTTCTTCTTTTTATTCGGTTCTTTTGTGGATAAAAAAAAAAGAACAAAGAAAAATACAACAAAGAATAATAAACATTAAGAAGAAAATTGGATGAAAAATTTAACACTGGCTACTCCGAATGACCAATTTTCATTTAGTCTTAAATTGGTTTAATTTTTAATTTTTATAAAAAACAAATGAGATGTAAACAGTTTACTTTGAGGGTATTATATTATAAAATCTTGTCAATTATAATATTATTTTATTTAAATAATATTATAAAAAATATTACATATATAAAAATATAATTATATAAAATATAATAAATATATATATATATATATATATATATATATTAATATGAATAATATTAAAAAATATTTAAAAAATGTATAATAACCAACATGGTCATTTTCTAAATCAAATAAGTTGCATTCGATGTATTATTTTTATTTTTATAACCAATAGCAATCGAGTAAATTCAAATAAGTTGTTTTAATTATTTTTGTTAATTACATTTAAATATATATATATATATATATATAATATGTGGATTTAAATAACTGTATAACTCATACAAGTAAGAATAAAAAATATATACGAATGGTTGATTAATAATTTTAAAAGTATATATATATTGAAGTAGCTAATTATGCTGTAGCCTGGAGCCTGGAAATAAGTTAGAATGAAAGAGAGAGAAAAGATATGATATGATATTTATTTTAAAATATCCACGGTGGTAACCACTATTTTAACAATTTTCAAAATTTTGATAGAGTTCATATAACAAGTGGGATAATTAATATCGTTATGAAAACTAGAGAAAATTTCGAGGAGAAAGTTTGTGGTTACGTGAGATATTCACAAGGGAATGAGTGGCTGCCAGGAGGGTTGGTTTATATAAGGGTTAAAGAGTATCAGGGGTTACCTGACGAACAAATAATAAGCTGCCGTAAATTAGAAGTTCACCCATAGGTACCTACCTGCTATGTTATCTTCGTATTATTATTATTATTATTATTATTATTATTATTATTATTATATTATATTAGTTATAAATAATTCTTGTATTTGTATATTTTCTCTCTAATATTCTGAATTCATGTAAACAAGTAAATATTTTATAAAGGTATAAATATACGTACATATATAAAGTTAGTGTGTATATAGGTATATGCAATATATATATATATACATTCTAACAATAAGTCATGAAAATGTATTCAAGGATAATATTACCAAATGCAATCAGTGCACTGGGGCCAATTCTAGTATGCAATTTCGTACGTGCTTGCAAGGCAAATCTTTTTCCTTCCCAATCTATCTATCTCTCGATCGATAAATTGATCGATTTTTTAAGAATCTTCATTCCAAAGGAAAGAAGCCCTTTTTTTCAAAGTATTCAACATTATTTGAATAAAAAGTACGTACGTTTCTTTTACAGACTACTGAAAACTTTACTTGAATCCTATCATCTTCTTTTTTTTTTTTCATTACATTTTAACTTTCCTTGTATCGTTTCATGAACGAGGTATATTCGTGCGAATCAAGAGAAAGAAAAATAAAGATAGAATGAGGGTGTCTGTCCTCCCACACCTTTCCTCTCCGATCCCCTCTTTTACGGATTACGAAAATAAACCGGAATGAAGCTACATAACATACGAGTATACTTTGCATTTCGCGGGTTTCCGTATAACGAGCCAATCAGAACTTCAAACAAAGCCGAGTACTGCATTCTGTACGATACTGAGAATCTTCTATTTCGTTTATGTTCATCCTTGGTCGTTGCCTTTATTCTATGACAGTTTCTCTTTCTACTCGACAACCAGAAACTAGGGTAATCCTTATTATTTTTTCATCCTTTACTCTTCTTTCTAAGAATAAGAAAATGATATTTCCTTAGAAGAGAATATCAATGCACACGCTATGAATAACGTTAAACTTTTATCATTTTTATATACATCTATATATATATATAGAATAACTTGAAAGCTCTGTTTAGAAAGATCGGTGCTTCAGTTGAAAATTCTACATTTTTTCACGAAGACGTTTTATAATGTTGAAATAAAGTTTAGTTGAAAACGGTAAATTGGGAAAAGTGTAGGATGAGTAAAAGAGGATCGAGGAAGGTTGAGGTAGGGGTAGAGAGAGAGGGTTGACAGAGGTCCGTTCTCAAATTACGTAAGGAATGAAATTTACTCGCTCACGGTGCAATTTCCCAACTTAATGACTCCGATTTCGTAAAATCTTCTTACTTTGGAGAAATCTTTCTAGGTTTATTCTTTTTTTTTTATTTTTTAATTTATTATAAACGTTGAGAACGTAGAAATTAATCTTTTTTTGTTTTTTTGTTTTTTTTTGAAAACGTAATGAAATTGTTCGTAAATAATCAATTCTTGTTTACAAATGTATAGTTTTGAATAAGAATAATATTTATGATTAACAAATAATTCATTTGTGAAGTAAGAAAAAGAAATTAGATGAAGAAAGAAACAAATTACGAAGAAATTTCGAAAAGAAAAGATATTTTCTTTTTTTTTTCACTTACCTGGTAGCTTCTTGCAGCAACAGGTGAGGCGGTACCCAAAACTTAACCCTCAGAGCGAATCTTAAAGGTACCACGCCTCCACCGGTCTGCCTTTCTATTGGATTTCTCAAATTCAGCCAAAGTTCTTCGCCTTTTGCGTTTTGATATTTTAATCCGAAATAATCGCATTCTTTGCTGATTCCCAAACAGTCGCATGCCTGTAAACAAATCAAATGTTTTTTTCTTATTAGTATATACATAATATTTGTTCAATATCATTTTAATTGGAACAAAAAACAATGAATTATAATTTTGTAAATAATTAAACTCAAATGACCTGTAATCCTGCAATTTTTAAATAGATGTGGTAATTTGTAAAAATCCTGTTATTTGTAAAATATATATATTATATTTTAATTTAATATAATTTAATTTAATATTTAATATATTATATATTGTATACTATACAATATACAGTACTTTTGGTCAGTTGGTGCATGTAGGATAACACAAATAATAATATATATTATATTATATTATATTATATTATATTATATTAAATTAAATAATTAATTAATTATATAAAATTATAATTAATAAAATATAAATATTCAAAAATAAAAGTAAAATTAATATAATATTATTAATATGATATTATTATAATATATTATAATTTTATATTATTTAATAATATATATATATATATTTATAAAGCGTTTATTTGACTTATACTCATAGTAAAAAATACTTAAACATAAATTATCCATATTACAATCTTTTTATTATCCAACTTGCAAAATTTTTTCCTTCAAATATTAATCGTTTATATTATTCGATATTCTTTGTTGTTATCTTTATCTTTATCTCTTTCTCTCTAATTCCTTTATTTATCAAAGCAACCTATCCCTACTGGCTTCGATGTCGTACGTATAATTAACCGTTTATCCGGACGTACCGGGCCGATTAATCCGCACAAAACCGCAGGCCGATATTCAAGGGGAAAACACCGACTCCGAGCTGCCAGTACGGGCTAACAAATTGCCGGTCATAATTTAGAAAGTTACTACATGGAAATAGGAGGGTTAAAGAGAAAAGGGAAGCTCCGGAGGATGTGCGAACACGAATACACAAACACACTAATACGACTTTCAAGCAAAAGTTATAATATTCACACTTACGTATATTTTTGTGTGTGTGTGTCCTCCTATTCTCTTTTTGTTTACTTTTGAAAAATATTTCTCATTACTATTATTATTATTATTATTATTATTATTATTATTATTATTATTATTACTCTTTTTTTTCTATTACGAATGAAATTACCACATAGTTGCATAAATGCAATTTAATTAATACTCAAAAAGAATAATACGAAGTAAATTTAATCGATTAATAAAATGATTTTACGTTAATAAAAAAATTTAAAAAAAAAAGTCTAAAAATATATATATATATATATTGAGTAATTCATTCATAAACTTTATATTCCATTATATTTGAACATAAATAATAACATAAACATTTAAACAGATCTCAATTATCAGTTTATTAAACTGTAAATTCATCAAACAAGAGTTCGACTCGGTTGGCTCGAATAATCCCCAAACCCTAGCGAAAGTTACTTCGACTGTAAACTGTTTATATATATATAGGTATATCACATTCGAGTTTCCAAGCCAGCAAACCACCATTTGGTTTACCCAACTGGTCATTGTCACGCTGTCTTGCACTCTGATTGGCTATTGGTATTCCGTAGTGTTACCTTTTCGAAAAAAAAAAAAAAAATAAAACTAAATTTCGTGTACCCTTCGTTTTCAATGTACAATTTTAAAATACAGAATGTAACCGGCACGTATCTGTAATACTTTAAAAATAACTTTTTACCATTCACGTACAATGCGTCATAAAAGTAGAATTATAAATTAGCCTTAATTGTTTTAATTATTATTATATATATTCTAAAGGTCTACACACATTTTCAATTTTATTTCCTTATTACGTAGCACGTTTTTTTTTTTTTCATTAACAGACGTAGTCATTAAATTATACAAGCAACGTATGATTCATCAAGGTTAGTATTCAAGATACGTTCACGTTCGTTGGTCATTCGGTATAAAAATGTTAAAATGTTTTTTCCTCGTTTAAAAAGTTAGATTTTAATTTTATTTCAATCAATGTTATTCGATTTTATGATCGTTATTATGATCGTTGATTTTTATCGTGTGAGAGAAAATAAAAATAAAAAACAATAAAAGCAAGTAGATATAAAAGGTGTACGTACGGTTGTTGTATAAATATAACAACAACAACAACAAAAATAAAAAGAGAGATAGAAAGAAAAAAAAGATAAATTAATACAATTGATATTATTTCTGAAATACTTTTTTTTCTTATTTTCATATTTTCTTGCAATACTTTTGATCATACTATTATTATATAAACTTTTATTATTTATACTAAAAATATTAGTATACTTAAATATTAACAATGGCGGGATTTGGTATTTGCGGTAATGAACTTTTGAGTTTCTAACGCTAGCTAATAAATAATATAAAATAAATATTAGTATAGTATAAACTATATTATATATATATTAAATTATATATTTAATATTAGTATGGTATAAACTTTATTAAGTATTATAGTACAGTATAATATATATATTATATTACATATAATATAATATTAATGTTATTAATATTAATTAATTTAAAATAAAAAATAAATAATATAATGTAAGAAATATAATATTAATATTAATATTATATTTAATATTAATAAATATATTTTATTAATATTAAATATTATATTATATTACAAGTAATATATTATAAATAATAATATAGTATATATATTATACTCTCTATATTAATATTTAATTATACCATTATTATATACTAACTAAAATTATGTTGTATTTATAACACAAAAATCATTCGAATTCATCGCCAATGTTCATATCATCTTCTCTGAACGTTTCATTCATGAATAATTAAACAAATACGAAATGGATAGAATTTTTATACATATATACATACATACATACATACATACACACACATACAAATAAAGAAAAGAAATTGAAGGAAAATGAATCGATCAGATGAAAAAAAAGTCTGGGTTGGTGAATGTCGATGAAGAAATAGGAAAGTTCGAACAAAAATTGAAATCCCAGACGATTCCAATTTTGATTCTACCGCCAAAGGAAAAGTTGACTGGGTTTTCTCACTCCAATACCCGGAAACAATGAACGGACCTTCCGCGAATAAATATTGAACTTACAAAAAGGGACGTGAAGAAGAAGGGGTGAAGAAAAAGGGACGACGATCAAAACCTTTCCACACGGTAGTGGTTTCGTTGAAATCGAACGCTCTTTTCTTCTTCCAATCGGGTTTGTTTCATGAAATCATTGATTAAAAAAATAAAAAAAAATAAATAAATAAAAAAGAACAAAAAAATGACAAAAAATATGCTTATTGCATCTAATTATATACAATACGCATTATTATAACCGTACGCGTGCAATAATGTTTGTGTTTTTGGTTGTGGGTTGTGAATGTTTTATAAAATCATTAAATAAATAAAAAACAAAAATATAGAAAAAAAATGACAAAAAATATGCAAATGCATTTAATTATATCAAATTCTACGTGTTTCAATGATGGTTATGGGTTGTGGGTTGCAAAAATGGTAAATTTCTTAAACAAAAGAAAAAAAAATTATAAAATACATTTGATTTTTCAACTGGCTTTGGGCATTATTCGAAAGCAAAGCTTTTCTTTAAAGTTACATCATAGAGTAATAATTATTTAAAGAGAATACACTTTACCCCTACCTCCACCCCTCACCCCTTTCACTTCGTTTCTTTTTCTTCTATACATTTTCACTACTACACTCTTCATAGTAATTTCATTTCATTTCTTTAAAGAAAACTTTTTCTTCTTCTTCTTCTTCTTCTTCTTCTTCTTCTTCTTCTTCCTATTCTTCTTTTATAGAAACACACAGCTCTTGTGCTGTGTTGGGAGCAGAAGCTGGCTACTTTACCAAGGATTTAAATTTCTTGTTAATTACTTTCCTTTCTTTTTAAATGCGCGAATAGAAAATTGATCCTCTTTTATTTCTTCACTGATTTTTTTCTATCATAATATCTTTAAAAGTCGTATTTTTTTTTTCTTTTTTTCTTTTTTATAGTTATAATTAAAAGTCTTTCATTTAATTTATCACATCTTTTTATACAATTAATTATTTGATTATTTTATATTTTATTTACTATAATTTATTTGACTATTTTATATTTTATTTACTATAATTTATTTTAGTATTTTATAGAATAATTTTATACTATAAATATCCTGTTTACTGGACGGAACGTATTAATACATCAAACGTATTATTTTAAAGCTAAAGGTACAAATCTTTAATAAATAATAAAAAAAGCTACGTAATTAAAATGGTAATTCCCCGGTTAACAGAATATATATATGTATATAAATCTATATTTTATAAAAATAAACGTAAAATTGTGTGTGCAATTAGAATTTGAAAATTGATACCGAATAATACACTATTCGAAATTATTTAATCGTAAATATTTCAACAATTTAATTAAACTACCAAAGAGAAATGTGTACAACAACAACAACAACAAAAAAAAAAGAAAAAAAAAACAAAATACTGACCGAATAATATAATAATCTCAAATAATAATAATAATTATTATTATTATCATTGTTATTATTAATGCAATAAATGGAATAACATTGTTATTAAAAGAGAAAATATTATAAGAAGAAAGGTGAAAAATGTATCGTTTATTCGTGTAAATGGTTAGTTATAAAACGTTTAAACTATTTACGTTTGAGATTAGTTGGTACTTGGGGTGGTGGTATCTCCTGGAAAACTCGGTCACGTGAATAGCGATAAGGAAAATTCACACAGGGAATGAAATACCCGGTTGTTTTTGCTGCGATAAATTGCACACCTCTCTTTTTCACTCTTCTCTCTTTCCCCACTTCCACCCACCCCCCGGAGCTAGTTTGGTTGGTGGGATGAACGTTCGTCGTTCTCAGTGACTTTCAACGACGGTTTAAAAAAAAGAAAAAAAGAAAAAAGAAAAAAAAACGCAAACTCCAAGATGAATAGTTCGTGCTACAAGTATTACTCATCTTAACCTGTTTATTCATCGGGATCATCATATCAAACGAAGTTTTAAAAGTCA